ATTTAAATGATACAATAGATCTATTATATGATGTTAATGAAAGAAATGTTATTTTAATAGATAGTTATTTACAAAAAATCAATGAATATGTTGAAATATTTGGAATAAAATATTTTTGGTGTTGGAGCGATTTGGAAAAGTATAACGAAGAATTTCTTGCTTATTAATTGTATTATTAATAACCGTATTTATATTTATTTATTTATATTAGATTATGTTATCATTATATTATTAATTATTGTATAATTGATAATAATGAAAATAAGGTAAATTACTAAGTATAATATAACACGACATAATTGATTGTGAAAATAAAATGTTTAACTAAAAATGATGAAACATTACACAAACTTTATTTTAGGAAATTGAAAAAATCGATGTTTGTCTAAATTATACATTTGATATTTTAAAATCGATAAATGAACTTGATGTTAATGTTAAACACGATAAACAAATAATCTTATCTGACAAAGATAAAGATTTGAATTTTATTTTTGAAGAATTTATAATTTTGATTCGTTGTAATTTTAGATTAAAAAGGAAAGTGTGGAATCAGAATTATACAAATAATGTAAAAGAAGCAAATAATCTTAGAATTTTAACTTGTAAAACAGATAATCTTGTTAACCAAATAGTAGAACATATTACTTATTTGAAAGACTTTGATGATAAATTTATTGAAAAATAATTTATATAACAATTTGTTAAATAAAAACTAAATTTAAATCATATACTTCATATATAAAATTGGTTATAAATATAAAGTCTAATATTTCCACTTTTATTTTTTTTTATTTTTAAAATAATTATATTTTAAATTTTATTATAAATTTATTATAAAATGTTATTTATCAAATCATTAAGTTTTTTGTTATTATTTATTTGTATAACATTTTTATCTGTGGAAGCATATAACCAAAATGAAAAAAAAGATATTCCTAAAAAAAATGATTTTTTAAAATCTAAATATTCTGATTTTAATTCTCAAAAAAGTAATAAACGGTATGTTAATTTTATAATAATCAATTATAATTTTTGTAAATTAATTTTACTAATTATTAATATGAACGATAGTCAATGTAATGAATGTAAGCAACCAGGCAAAGGCAATCATAAATAATACTTAATATGATAATTAAATTGATCTTGCCAAGAATATTTTAAATCTTTGCTAAAAAATTATTAAATATATTATGTTTTTTATTACTATTGTATTTGATATTAATTTTATTTTTAATAAAATATTAATGAGTTAGTTATATGTAAAATAATGAATAATGTTAATTTACGATATTTTCTCTATTTTTATTTTTACATTTAAGACAAAAAATATGTGTATGTTCTTGGTTTTCTTTACACCAAAAAACAAAACATTTTTTATATCTATAATAATAATTTTTTTGTTTTACTGTTTTAAAACATCTATCACAAGTAAAATGATCCAAGTGTCTATTTTCAAAATTCTTTCTTGAAAATTTATACATATATTTGGAAGAAGTTGTTAAATTATTGATATATGGAGAAATATCAAATTGGGGATGAAAGTTTAATTCTTTTTTAATTCTTCTATTTTTTTTCAAAGGATCTTGAAATACAATAATATTTTTTTTAATATCAATAATCTCCATTAGGATTGCATCTTCATCTTTTAAAGCAAACACATGTTTTTTCTTATCAATAGACAGTTTTTGTTTTAATTTATATCGAAATAAGAAATTAAATGCTCGAAATGTATTTGAATGTTTATATTGATCATATATTGATAAATGATTATAAACTCTTTGATAATACCATAATGATTTATATTTATTTTTAAAAATCCTATAAACAAATTTATTCACTTGGCTAAATACAATTTGATCATCGAATTTTAAGCAATAGAATATCATTAGGAATATTTCCAAAGGTAATATACAAAATAATGATTTTTTCATTTTGGATTATTAGTGAAACGAATTTAATCTATTTTATAATAAACTCATATTAATAATTAAATATTGAAAAAACCATTTTTATTTATAGGTAACATAACTTTTATTTAATAAATAAAAATATCATATTTAATATATTATAAAAAAATAAAATGTATAACATAAAAATAAAATAAGCTAATAAAAAATTAAATTTGGTAACCACTAATTTCATAATCATCATTATCAACAACAGTGATGGATGAATTGCTCTTTGATGCTTTGTTATTCTTATAAATCACTTTAAGTTGAGATAAATCTTTACTTTTCATTTTATCTTCGGGATTAAATTTTTTCTCAACTTCTACTTTTTTTAATAATTTTTTATTTATAGATTCGTATTTAAGTCCAGAATTTGAAAATTTCAAATCATATAATTCTTTAACATATTCTTTCTTTTCTTTATGTCTTGTACCCATATTTTTTTTCAACATGGTATGTAATAAACCAAGACAATTATTATCTTCTTTACTCAATCCAAAGAATAAAATATCCATGATGTAATCTGCATTACTTTTACTAATATTTGATTCAGAAAGTAATACGGAAGCATAATAAAAGCATTCAATTCCTTCAATATCTTTTTTATCATATTTTTCTTTATAAAAAATGTTGATATCATCATTGAAATATTCTTTGAGTTTCTTGGAAGCTTCGATATATCCACCTTGGAAAAACGATGTTTCAAACATTTTTTTTACTTCATCTCTCATGTCTTCATCTTCGATTAAAACTTTACCATACGTGTACGCTGCTAATCCAAATACTGGAGTAGCAATGGAATCTTCATAAAATTTTTTAGCATATTCTAATTCTTTTGTTCTATCATTTGTTTCTTTAGCGTCAGCAATTAACCAGATATATGAATTATCAAATAAAAGATTTTTTGTATTATAAATATAACTTAAGTGTTCATCTCTTTGTTTGTTTCTTTCTGCATGAGTGTTTATTAAATCATTCATATCATTTTGTAAAGATTTTCTTGTACTTTCGGATATCCTAATCTTTTTAGAATTATTATTATCTCGAAAAAGGTTGTTCATTAATCTTTTTCTTGTTTCTTCATTATCTTGATTAACGATAAAATTCAATGGTCTTGTAGTCAATTTTTTTTATTTTATTTCATCTGAATATTTTTTATTTGTAAAAACATAAACCATATTTATAAAGATTTTTATTATTAATTAGATACAAAAATTTTATTATTAATCGGAATACAAATTCCGGGTTTGTTTTCAATATTTAATTATCATTACTAATATATTATATTATTAATTATTTATTTTATACAATTCATTTCTAAGTTCATTAGCTGCTATTTTATTTTTAATTCGTCGATCTCCTTTTTTAGATCCTAGATATGCTAATTTATTTGCTTGTTCTTGTTCATTGTTATAAACACCATTGTATTTAACGTATTTAAAATATGTTTTTCCTTTTCTTTCATTTATCAACTCTTTTACTTTAATAATTAAATTCATATTACTTTTCTTGTTTATGATTTTGTATGAATTAATTATTATATCCTGATTCTTATTGGTTTCTAAAGCTCGTATGATAGCATACATTTTTGCTTGGTTCTTTGTTTGGTATTCTTCAGGTAGTCTTTCACTTAAATTTCTTGGATCATTATTTGCAATAAACACACCAATACCTCCTAATGTATTATCTTTTTTACAATACCCATGTCTTGTAGAAAAAAATAATTATTAAATAAATTAATTTTTAATATATAATTTAAATAAAATACTAACGTTCATATATTAATGGTATCTTTGATATTAATATAACCTATTTGTTGTATTATTTTTTTTTTATTTGTTTTTGGCATCTTGTAGAGTAGGTTAGCAAGCAACATATTCATACAAGGATAAAAATCAGTGGGTATAATAAGAGTCAGTATAAAATAAATATGATTTAAAAATAATATACAGTTGGGAGCTCTCTTACTTTGTTTATTTTTTTTTTTTCAATATTTTTTTTTAATTAATACATTTTCTGTTTTTATATTTTATCATGATTATTAATTAGTAATATAAATTATTATTCTTAAAATAGAAATTTTAATATATGATACTATTTATATTATTAATTGTATATTATAAATATTCTTATTTATTTTTTTAATTCTTTTTAAAAATGACTTCTTAGAATAGAGATTCAGTTAATCAGAATTGGAGACGTCCTATTGCATACAAATTTGACAATGAAGAAATCAAAACTTATTGCCAAATAAAACTTTTTGATGCTAATAAAAAACCTATTGATTATAATATCTGGGTTGATGATAATTCGAAACTAAGTTTAATCAAACTTCATCAATGGTATTTAATCAATGATATCGTTGTTGATGAAAATAAAAAACCTTTATTAGAACATATAACTGGTGTCAAACTTGAAAATATTAAATTGAAAGAAGGAACAAAATGTTATGCTAGAAAAAATCTTGATACTGTATCTAGTAAACTTACCGAAGATCCACTATCGAAAGAAAGATATGAATCTACCTAAGAAAAAGAAAACTGAAAATGTGAATAATAACTATACAAACAAGATACTTGATTAAGATATTATCATTATTACTACTATGTATTTTAATTATGCTTTTTATTTTATTATCATTTAATTAAAATATTTATTATTAATATAGTGAATTAAAAAAAATATTATCATTTTTTTTAACATTTTTATTATATTATTCATAATTTATATCGATATTTCAATGCTAAAAAACCTAATTTTAATAAAAATATTTTAAACTAAATGTGTATTGAAATAAGGAACTTTCATACTATCTTCATAATATTGATATGGATTAATTTCATAACTTGATAATTCTTTATGCCAATTACTCATAATTTCATGATATGCTAATTTAGACAAATTATTATCATTCTTAAAAATATTTTCAATATCATGAATTTTTATCACATCAAATTGTGTTAAACTATTATTATCTAATATCTCATAAGAATTATTTAATGGATTATTCATTATTTCATTAGATTCTTTATTTAAATCTTTAAAAGTATCAAAACGAATTATGTTTTTTGGTTTATGTTTATATTTACGTTTTTGTTCAATAGAATGCATTTCATAATATTTTTTTCTAACTTCTTTTTCAAGTTTTTTATATACTTCTTTTATATAGAACGGTTCTTGATTCCATAGCATTGAAACAATCGGTGATATATCAATCATGTTTAATCTTATTCCGTGTAAATGGATATGATCAATGTATGCATTACGATATATGATGAATGCATTATGTGTTTTTGTAGAATTTTTATTTTTATTATTTTTTTTAGATATTATTTTATCAACATTCATCATTGGAGGAAATGGTGGTTTTGTAAATATAATTGGATTTTGTGATTCTAATTTTATATCAACACCTGAAATTTTATTATTTGTAGATATTGGATAGCTATTGATGAATATATCATGACTTATTGATTTATTCATTATGAATTATTTTAGTTTGTAAAAACTAATATTTTTTTTTCTTATTATATAACTTTTGATTAATAATATTTAATATTTATAATTAATAAACAAATCGTATTTTTACTTGTAATATTTACACTTTTTCTTATATTTTTATTATATTAGAATTTAATGTTATTTTTTTTTATATAAAGAGATGAATAATTAATAATCTAAATTAAAAATGTCTGAAATTCTCAGTGATACAGAAAATCAAAACGATGTTTTGAGTTATTTCCCTCTTGATGAATCTACTGGTAAAGCAAAATGTAAACTATGTTCTAAAACATTTACTCATCCAATCAACGACTTGATTGCTAGAAATCATTTTTCAAAGTCTCATAAAGAAGAATGGGATGCTTTAGATAAAGATAATGATAATAAATCGACTAAATTCAAAAATCCTAAATCAATTAAAGATAAACCTGTTAAAAATAAAAATAAACCATTGATTAGTGATGATGATGAAAATTATGAAGAAAATGATAAGAAATTTAACTCAAGAAATAAACATAAATCTAAAGTTCATGTTGATGTTGATGTTGAAGATGATGACGATGATGATGATGGTGTTAATATTGATGGTTATAATCCTGGTAGTAAATGGAATAGAACTAATCGTGTGAAAGTAAACTGGGATGATGAAAATATTAATTTTAAATATGTTGCAGAGAAAGTTGATATATTAATGTCTGATGGTAATGAATTAAGAGCTCGAAAAGTTGTTATTACACGCAATCTTGATTAATCCTTTGTATATACATAGGATTTACAGCAAGAGAACCAATTGTTGTGTTTTATTCGACGAAACACTCAAATAAAAAATAATGTATTATAAATTGATTAATTATAAATTTTAAATAATGTCAATTTTATTAATATTATTAAATGATATAAATAAATAAAATATAAAATATAAGAATTATTAATTTAACAAAAATAATCTACATCTGTTAATTTTTTTATACTAAAACGTGTTATATTATTATTTTTACAACATTCGTTACAAAAAATATGTGTATGACTTGGCCATAACATACTACTAAACCAAACATTATTTAGGAAATAATCATAATAATATTCATTTGATTCATCATCTCTTTTACTACAAGATGGCAGTAAACAAACTTTATCATCAATAGTAATTATTTGATAAAAACTAAATTTATAACATGCATCACAATATGCTTTTCCAATATCATTTTTATATTTATTTTTGATTTTATATACTAATTCATTTTCATGTTCAGGACTATTGCAATATATTATATCTTCCTTTCCTTGTTTCATTTTTCTATTTTTTCTTTTTCCATTTATATCAAAATAAACCTTTCCATTTTTTTCATATAGATATTTATAATATTTTTTATGTTTTTCTCCTACAAAAAAACCAATCATTTGTAATAAAAATTATCATCATGGTTTATAAAATGAAAAAGTTAGACTCGTTCAAGTGCTGATGGATCTCTTTGCTCTTTTTATATACTTTAAATATATTAATAATCATAGAAAAAATACTCACCAAATCCGAATCGTATCGATTTTGTGATTATTAACATTAAAGGAATTAGTAACATGTTTCAAAAGGTAATTTATATTATTAATAATAAGTTTTTCTATACCTGAATAGAAAATATCATCTTCCATAAGTCTTAATCTTCTATTCAGTCTTCTTGTTTGTACATAATTTACCAATTTATTGACATAAGGTATTTTGTTTTGTTCTTTAAGTCTTAGATATGAAAATATTTTATTTACAATAAATAATTTATTATGAGATGTAAAATGTTTAATAATAATATATAATTTTTTATTAACTAATTTTACTTGAAATTGATCATCGTAACATAATAGTACAATTATCATACAGATAATTTCTGTAGGAAGTCGATCCAACATTTTTATTTTGTTTAAATAATTTGATGAAATCTAAATAAATTTATATTAAATAATGATTAATAATGCTATTTGATTTTATTTGAATATTTCGTAATTAAAATTCCGGTTTAGAAAATATAAATATCTAATATTTTTTTTTTAAAACTAAACTATCAATAAAATGTCTTCACTAAATACTATAAATTTTTTTAATCTTATTAAAAAAATTAATGACACTATCATTAATAAAGAAAAAAGAATCATTTTGTTAAATAATGTCAAGAATCAGATTAATTTAACCAAACAAGAATATGATGAAAGTAGATATTATGAGCCTATTATGAAAGGTGTAATAAAATATGGAAATGATTTAGAAATTGAAGATTATGAATTAAAAAAACATGATACTGTGTATAGAGAATATACTGATGATGATATAAAATGTATTAGTCAGTTAAATTTGATTTTTAAGATGTGTGATGATATTGAAAATGATAAAACTATTAATCAAGAAATCCATTATGATGAAAATCATGAATTATTTTTCAAAGAAGTAAACAGAATATTGGTAAATCCTTCTGACGAAGAAAAGGAATTTCTTAATATTAAGAAAAAAGAAATGGAATATGATTTAATGAAAAATAATGAAAATGATCATAAGATGCTTAAAGAAAAATTTAATGAATTACCTGATTATCTATTTAAACGTTTAATTCTAATTTATGAACATTATCATCGACATAATACATCTAATGAATTTAAAAATTGGGTTTATCAATTTGCTAATATTTTTTTAAGTGATTTTTTAATAGAAACATATTTTAATATTAAAAGTAGTATTTTTTTAAATAACGTTAGTTTAGAAGATATTTCTTTAATTATTTTAATGACTAAAATAGGATTTGATTATAGATTATTTAAAGAATATGAAATTTATACATCTGAATATGAAATTATTTGATTTTAGTTTTATATCTATTTATGATAAAACAAGAAAATA